CTTTCTGAGCCCATCCATCCCCTCAGGGCCAACAAGGGCCAGCCCAGCCCCGGTGTGCGAGGGAGGCACCTGCCTTCAGGTGCTTCAATAATAGAAATCATTAATTTTCACTGCTAATGGAGGAAACGCTGCGCTATGAAAAATGTGCGTTGGCTCAGAGGCAATTGAAAAGGCTGGGAGAGACGGGAGCCCCTTAATTTGTTCCAAATTGGTTATTTCACTGGAACGGTGAGAAAGCATCAATTTGAGTATCTTTTTTCCCCTTTTCATTTCTGTCAGTCGTTCCCTGGCCATAATGAATTGGACTCGGCTGTAATTTTTTATGATTTAAATGATGCTCGGAATAAAGGCTGAACTAATCTGGGGCTCCAGTCTCTCTCCCCCCACTCAGCTCCCTGTGTTTTGGAAGGACCTTGACCCCTCAGGAGAAGGTGATGGTGGGGAGGGAAGGAGGGCAGGAATTTGGGGAGCAGAGCCCGGGTCGGTGTTTAACACTCACTGCCCCGGGTCAGGATTAGCCCTGCTTCTTTCTGAGCTCCCTGGTACCTGTCGGGGGGATCAGCGGGGTCTGGGCCGGGATGCTGAGCCCGTGGGGGGCTGGATAGGGGCTCTGCAAGGGGGGGGCATTGCTGGGAATTAAAATCCGAGGGGAGGCAGGCTTGATGCTTGTGGCCATGGGGAGGAAAAGAGGCTTGATGAGCAAGATGTGCGTCCAGTTTTGCCCCCCAGAAAGCATTTATTTCACCAGTTGGGCAGGGTTATGGCTCCCGGGAGCTGGATGTGGCTGTGTTGCCTCTCGGGGACCAGGGACATGAGCTGGGAGGGAGCCTGGGGTGGGAGATCACCCTGTCCCTGTTCCTGCTCCTGCTCTTTGCCAAAAGGGCTTTGCCCTTCTCGGCTGCTCCGTGGCAGAGCAGGAACCGGCCCCATCCGATGGGAGCAGCCTTAGCCCGGAGCTGGGGTCACTGGCGGGGGAGAAATGAACATTTTCCCCCCCTTCTCCTCAGCCCAGACGAATAATCCTGTCCGTGGCCATGCCCCCGAGTTTGCAGGGATGTCATCTGAGTTTATTTCAAGGCTTGTTCCCTGCCAGCTCGAGTCACGCAGCAAAAGGTTGTGAGGAGGCTGCGCAGGGGAGGGAGGCGCGAGGCAGCCTCCTGGGAGCTGGGGGGACTGGGGGTCCCCGTGCCAGCCACTATGGGGGGGCTTCTTCCTCCAGCAGCACCCCATGGTCACCTCTCTGTGTCCTGCTGCCCATCCAGGTCCCTTCGCAAGGACCTGAGTGAGCCCCTGTGCCCGCAGCGGTGCTGGAAGGGCACTGGCAGAGAGGAACACCCCCCAGTCCTGAGCACCCAGGGAGAGCTGGGACACAGCAGGGAAATATTGGGGTCCCCCAGGATGTGCCCCATCCCCTTCCCCAAGCCGGGGTACCCGCTCATCCCTGTGACCCCCCCGGTCTCTGTGCAGCGATGCTGCCAAACAGCCGATCCCCCGGGATGAGCCAGCGCTGCCTGATCTGGTTGTGGAACAGCCCCGGGGGGGCTGCGGGGGTATTTTTAATTTGTCTGAGCTGACAGGGTGCTGAGCAGTGTCTGTGGCACAGGGGGACGGCTCTCTTCTCCGCCAGACACGGCTCCTCGCAGCCCCCGTCCTCCGCCACACGCGGCTGAGAGGAAATCGAGCTGTCACCATCTCAAGGGTGGCAGTGGTGGGGGGCAGAGCCTGGCAGTGGGGCTGGGGCTGTGCATCATCCCTCCCCCTGCATCCCACCCCCTGCACCCTTGTGCCTTCCCTCCCCCCAAAATCTTCCCTGTGCAGAGCTGGAGTGTCCCCAACCCATCCCCATGCGATGGAGGGGAGGGGGTGGTTGGGGGAGCCTGGCACCCCAGGGTGGGCTGTGAGGGGCCGGGGGTCTCCGGGGTCAGTGCCAGCAGCTCCCCTTCCCTGAAAAGCCTGAGTCGTTCCCCAGAGCCTGGGTTAAAGCCGAGCAGGAAAACAAAACCTCTCCAATTTGTTTGGACTCGGGGATTTAATATTTTCTGGGGTGACATGTCTGGGGTCCCCAGGTTCCCTGGCTTCATGTCAATGCGGTGAAAAACCCGTGGGGAAACCCCATCCTGGGGCGTAGGGGTGAAGCTGGCAGGGTCTGTGTCCCCGTGTCCCCGACAGGAGCGATGTCCCTGGGGTCTGGTGGGGCCATGGAAGGTGCGGGCTCCAGTGGAAAGTGTGGCTCATGGGGCAGCCCTCGTGCCCCGGTGATGAATGTGCTCGTGCAGACACGGCACCTGCCCCCCCGGGTGCTCGAGCCATGTCCCCAGGGGGGAAAAATAGCAATGATCGAATCAAACCAAGGCTCCTGCACAGGGGGAAAGGGAATTATTTCCATTTCAGCTCCTTTAGGAGGGGCATCTGACGTCCTGCAGGGATGCAGGTGCTTGCGAGGGTCAGGGACATCCTGCCAATGCTGCCCAAGATCCAGGTTAAAGCTGGAGTCTTTAAAAAATGTAACTTTATGGAGAAAAAAAATAAAAGGGCCATTAAAAGGCTGTTTCAGGTGGGATGTTTCAACCTTAGTCCCACGAGTGCATTTGGTGCTGGTGACAGCGGAGGGGAGGGTGGGCAGAGAGTGCTTTTGCCAAATCCACCTGTTTTCCAGGACTTTGCCTGGGGCTCCGGGGGGGCTCCCCGTTCCTCTGCTCCAGGCTCGGTGGCTTTCCCAACAGTTTGGGGCAGGAGAAGCCCATGGGGTTGGACCCGGCTGCTCACTTTGGGAACTGGGGGGGGGAAAAGTAGGACCCAAGGTCCTGCTGGTGGGTCCCAGTGCCGGGGCCATGAGGATCGGGTCAGTCCCAGCCCGCAGGGCCACGGGGACCAGTGACCTTTGCAGTCCTGCTCGGGATGCGAGTCAGGGAATTTGGCATCCTTCTGCCTGAAAACTGATTAAAAAGGCTAAATCCTCCTTTCTCGCTTGCATTAGCACAAGAATAAATAGTGCATATTTTCACCCCTGGGAGCCCGTCTCTAGTTTCACCCAGCTCCTGTTCGCATTAGCCCTGGGCTGGGGTGGCCGGGCAGGAATGTCCCCAGCTCAGGAAGAGCCTCTCGCCCCGGGACATGTGGAGGAGCCCAAAGAGAGGAATTCACTGAGGGGCTGCGTCCCCTCCCTGGTGCGGAGGAGCCAGTCGGAGCCAGGTACAATGCAGCCCCTAATCCCGGCACATACCGAGGGGCCGCGGACCTTGTCGGGGCCGGTCTCAGCACCGGGAGTGGGGGGAGTGGGGACCTAGAGCATCCTCTGGAGTGGGGACCTAGAGCATCCTCTGGCACCCGGGCACCCTGTCCCTGCTGGGGGGCTGGGGAACGGGTGGGATGTTGCCGTCGGGGGCTCCCATGGACACCAGCGCTTTTGGGGATTTTTGTGTTCTCAGCAGACTTGTTTGAGGGAAAGCAAAGGTAGCACAAAATCCTGTTTTTGGAAGAAGCTGAGGGGGTCTAAATGTCACCTGCATTTAGCGCTAAAAAAAAGGGTTTTTTTGGCATGAGTGGAGCCCCAGGCTTGTTTGGGACCCTAGCAGAGGGGCTGGGTGCCAGGCATGGGGGCCAGTCCCAGTCCAGGAGCGTGGTCCAAGTCCCGTGGAGGGTCTGGACCCCTTTGGTGGAGCAACTTGTGCCCGTGGGCAGGGATGGGAGCTTGTGGGGTGCTGGGGTCCGGGCTCTGCCTGAGCCCCGAGACACCCATCCCGGCTGGACACGGGCACTTCTGCAGCTCAGCCCTCAGCCAAGGGACGGGGACTAGTGGTCCTGGGGGGCCAGGAGGTGGGCACCCTGATGCCCATCACCTCTGCTCTCCTCACACCATGGGGGGAAGATGTCCCAGTGGGCCAGCAGCATCCATAGGGCTGCTCCCCTTCCCTAGGGGTCTGAACCCATTGCTTGGCTACCGTGGCCACCATCCCCGCCGTCCCCGTGGCCAGGCCACAGCCACGCGGCCTTCCCCCATCCCGGCCACCGCTAGTGGCCACTGCCGCCGTGGGCTGCCGGGAGCATCGGCGGAGCCAGACAGTCCTCGCCGCAAGATGGCTGCTCCCGTGCTCCCGTGAGCGCGGGCGGCAGCCGCAGGCTTTGTTCCCGCAGCCGCCACGCTCGGGGCCGGTGGGACACTGAGGGGGGGGCCACCAGGGGCAGGGGGGTGCCCACCACCGCTCCCTGCCTCCCCCCTGCTGCCTTCCTTTTTATTTTTATTTTTTTTTATTTTTTTTTTAACTGGCTTTGCATTGTTTGGCAGGGATTTGTTTGTTTTTTTTTTTTTAATTAGGTTTTTGGTTTGGTTTTTTTTTTTTTCCTATTTAAAAACCAAAATCTGGGAAGTTTGCAAGCCCCCCCCTCACCCCAAGGCTTTATGGCAGCCTTTCAATGGTACGTATGTAGGGGGAGGGCGGGCGTGCGGGGCCGGGGGGGCACGCAGGGCTGGGTGCTGGGCTCGCATGCTGCTCCACTCGCCCTCACCCGGGTGGGCAATAGGTGGCCAGTGGCCGGTAGCCAGGGCTGACGCAGCCGGGTGCGAGGGTCAAAGCAGTGGCCAGTAAATCCTGCCCAAACTTCCCCGCAGGGAGAGCTGCTGCCCCGACGGGGGGAGCCGTGGGCTGGTGGGGGTACGGCAGTGACACCCCCCACTCCTGAGCCCCCTCCCGGGTCCCTGAGGAAACACGGTGTGGCTTTTTTGGGGAGCGAGGTGCAGGGTGAAGGGTGCCTGGGGCTGGTGCACGGCAGCGCTGCGGGGGTGCAGGACACGGTGCCGTGGTGCATCCCCGCTCCAGCCCGAGCTCTCCCAGCCCCGCACACCCCACACACTAAAAACACTTCTTTTTTTTTGTCATTTTTCCCCTTTCCAAGGTAGCAGGTTTTGCTGGAGCGAGTGCTTGGGCTGGGTGCAGGTAGGGACGGGTTTGGGAGCAAATGGGGTCGGTGACAGGGAGGGAATGAAGGAAACCACCCCCCCACCCCCCGGGGCTGTGCATCGTCCTGGTGTCAGCCAGGACACGGTGAGCTCGACGTCTGCCTGGTGTGGGCATCGGGGCAGGCTGGGCACATCAACCATGAGCGAGGCTCTCGACGGTGGCAGAGCTGTCCCTGCTGCTTGGTGGCTCCCACGGCCACCTCCTCTGCTTCGGGGACGAGTCCCGAGCCTCGTAGGGGCACAGTGGGGACATGGGTGCAATCCCAGCCCTGGCAGAGCCCGTGTCCCCAGGGAATGTCTGACGGGTGCTGGCAACAGCAGAGGAAACCCTGAGACCGCCGTTATGAAGGCTCAGTTTGGGGTTTCAATCCAGTTCATGGAAGAGCGTAGGGAGGATCGGACTGAGTGGGGTTTGAGTATGGGGAGGGAGTTCAGAGGATGCTCAAATGCTTCAGGTGCCGGGTTTATCCATGTGTGTAAGCGCTTTGGAGCCTTGGGAGCCCTGGCTGGAGCGGGCCCTGGCTGGGCTGGGTGCTGGCAGCAGAGCGTGGGCACGGGGCACAGAGTGGCTTTGGCAGTTTCCTGGGATGGAGACAAGCAAGGGATGAAGGAAAACACACCCGGGTGCATGCAGCCCCCAGCACGTGTTCCTGAGCTGGCCTCCAGCTCATCCTCCTCCGGCTCCAGGTCTCTGGCAGTCACTGGTGGCAGCGGGGGCTGCTCCTCGGGGGCTGAACACTCGTTTCCAGCCCTTTGGTTCAATGGGGGTTCCAGCATCTGGAGGGTCTGGTGTGATGGGGAGCGTGTTGAGGTGTCCCCGTGATTCTGAGGAGGACCAGGCGTGTGTGCCGGTCCCTCCGCCGACACCCAGAGCTGCTGGTGACACCAGGGCTCAGTGGGATCCCCCGCACGGTGCCGGGGGTGTCACAGAGCCCTCAGCCACCACGGTGCAACCGCAGCGCTTTGTTAGGGGGCAGGAGCAAACGATGAGCGCAGGCTGGGGTTTGCAGAGCCCTAATCCCTTTCCCTTGTGTCTCTTTCATCTCCAGTCGAACCAGGAGAGTTGTAATAGACCTTCTTACTAAATTAAATGTAGAGGCTGCTCCTCCAAGGCACGTCTCAGTTCGAGCGTAGTGTTTGATTTCCCAGCCACAGCAATATGGTGCCTCCAGGGAAAAAGCCAGCTGGGGAAACTTCCAATTCCAATAAAAAGTGTAAGCGCTATTTCAATGAGCACTGGAAGGAAGAATTTACTTGGCTGGAGTTTGACTATGAGAGGAAACTCATGTTTTGCATAGAGTGTCGGCAGGCGCTGGTGAAGAACAAGCACGGTAAAGCGGAGAACGCCTTTACCGTGGGCACGGACAACTTCCAGCGCCATGCCCTGCTGCGGCACGTCACCTCCGGCGCCCACCGTCAGGCGCTGGCGGTGAACCGGGAGCAGCTGGCCTTCGAGACCCGCGTCCACCACGGCCACCCGGAGCTGCGCTCGGTCATCAAGGTGGAGGTGAACCCGGCGAAGGTGGCCGTCCTCACCACTGTCTACTGGATGGCGAAGGAGGAGATCCCGGAGGAGAAGTGCTCCTCCCTGCTGGACTTCCAGAAGTTCAACCTGTGCCAGGCGCTGCTGGCCTCCGAGCACAGCGAGTTCTACCACCCCAGCAGCATCAGGGAGATGCAGGTGTGTATGGAGGGCTGGGGGCTCTGCGCCTGGGGCTGATGCTGGGGCTGGGTGGTGCCGTGGGGCTGCTGCACCCACCACCTTCATTGGGACAGGGTGGGTGCCTGCTCCTCACTTCCCAGTGCCCCTTCCAGCATCTCCAGCACCCACTTGGCTTCGTTTCATGTGCTGCGTGTGTGAACCCGAGCCTTAAGCAGGAGCTCCCACCCCCTGGGCCCCGATAAATACCTCACCGGGGCCAGAGTTGTCTTCAGAGCAGGGATCTCTGGATCCTGCTGGTGGCACAAGGCCAGGAGCACAGAAGCTGGGTGCCCCAGGGGCTGGCAGGGAGCTGGTGTCCCTGTCTCAGGGCAGAGCGGGGGTTGAGGTCGTTGGGTGCCGGGGAGCACCCACAGCCTCTGCGTCAGCGTTTGCTGATGGACAGACCTCTGTCCCCATCCTTGGACAGGTAAATGTACCCCGTGGCACCAGGACACGTCCTGATGTGCTTGGGACCACCAGCTTGGTCCACACAATCAGGCTGAGCTGGGGCGAGCTCTGGTCCCATGGGGGAGCCAGGCGATGCTCCTCTTCTCTGGGAGTTTTGGTGGAAACTGAGAGTTCCTCCACGTTAAACGTTAACGCGGCACTTTCTTGGTGTCATTCCCCGGTTTGACAGACCAGGAGAAGGTGATGGGGTCCATCAAAGGCACCTCAGGCTCCTGGTCACACGTATGGTTCCAGAGAGACAGGGAGAGCAGGAGCATCCTCTCCCGACCGAGCCTGCCAGGCTGCTTGGGGGATGAAGGCTCAGGAGTTAAATTAGCACACGAGCACTGTGGGTTTTTCCTCTTTTGCCCTCAACTGAGTGATCAGAAAGATCAAGTAGCCGGAGAGTTTAGAAAGGATTTTCTTAATTTTACAAACGCTTCATGCCTGTTAAAATCAAATTAAATTTTTAGCGAGCCTTGGCCATTTGCCAAGGCTTTTTTTTTTTTTTCGATCTCTAAAGAGCCTTATTTTGCTGCAGATAGACTAAATCCGCTAATTAGATTGCTCAGCCTGAAGTGCTACCTACGGCGTTCACACACGCACCCAGGAAGTTTTCCCTTCAAACCGGGGCGTTTGCCTGAGACGGGGAAAACGCAGCAGAGAAGGAGGAGATGCCAGAAGGTTTTGGTGCTGCTGCTGCTGCCCCTGCATGGCTGCCCGCACAGCACGGAGGCTATGGCTGAAGTTTGAGCCCGGGCAACGGGTTGTTGGCTCGTTCCTGGCATGGGCAGGGTCTCGGGGGGCCGGGGGCTCAGTGCTGCCCTGGTACCCTTTGGTCCCACTGAAGCCGTGGGGCTCTGACCCCCAGCTCAGGATGGGGACCCCTGGACTTTCTGCAGCTTCACCCTGTGCCTGGGCTGCAGGCTGGGAGCGGGAGGAGACGGTGTATTTGGGGGGAAAAAAAGGGATTTCCAGCTTGTGTGTGCGTTGTATTTACAGCCTATTTCAGGGCTTCTCTCTACTGGGGACCCCGCGCCGCTCTTGGGGTGATGTGAGGGGGGGAGCCGTGCCGATGGCGTGGCTCCGGGTGCTCTGCGTCTCCCCCGGCTTTGGGAGTTGATCTGTGTTTCTCTTTCCCCCCCCCCACCCCGACCACCACCACCACCATCACCTGCCCCCCGGCACCTCCTCCGCCTGCCCCAGGCAGCCATCGCCAAAGTCCTGCACAACGAGCACAGGCACAGGATCAAAGCCTCGCCGTTTGTCGGGCTGGTGGTGGACGAGACGGTGGACGTCCTGGAGCACCGCAGCCTGGCCGTGTTCACCACCACCGTCTCCCCCTGCAGCGGGCAGACCTCCGCCACCTTCTTGGGGAGCTTCGAGCTGCCCGCCGGGGAGGCCTCCACGGTGGCGGGCAAGGTGGGCGAGGTGATGCGCTCCTTCGGCATCCCCACCATGAAGATCACCTGGCTCAGCGCCGACAGCGCCTCGCTGGTGGCCGAGCGGCTGAGCGGGGTGGGGACCGCCTTGACCTCCCTCTGCCCGCTCCTCATGGAGATGCACTGCCTGTCCCACGGCAGGTCCCTGCTGCCAGCCGAGAGCATCGTCAGCATTGAATACCTCCAGAAATACGAGACCACTGTGGACGCCGTGTACAGGCTCTACTCCAGCTTCAGGGGGGAAAGCAACGGCCTGCAGGAGCTGCGGAGTGTCCTGGACCTCTGTGAGATAGACCTTGGGAGCCCCAAAGCCATCCACTGGACTTCTATTTTCCCAGCTGTGGAAGCCATCGATTCCTCGTGGCCCACGCTGGTGCTGCTGCTGGAGAGCGAGGCAGAGCGGTCACCGGTGGCCCATGGCCTCTGCGAAGAGCTCAAGAAGTTCCAGTTTGTGGCCTTCACCAAGATCCTCCTGGATGTCCTCCCCATCTTCCAGAAACTCAGCCGCTTCTTCCAGATTGAGGACTTTGACCTCTCCATCCTGAAGCCCATCGTCTCTGCCACGGCCACCACCCTGCAGGCCCAGAAGAGCACCAGTGGCCAGAACCTTCAGGAGTTCCTCAACGAGATGAATGAGCACCCGCGGGATGACCGGGAGGGCGAGAGCCGTCTCTACTACAAGGGCGTTGAGTTGGCCAACTGCTCCAAGGTGCACCTGAAGCACTTTGAGCACCTGAAGGAGAGCTACCTGGAGAGCGTGCGGGGCAACCTGCTGGACAGGTTCCCCAGCAGCGTCCTGGAGGCCATCAGCTCCTTCTCTGCCATCTTCAACCCCAAGTGCTACCCCCAGTCTTTGGAGGACATTGGCAGCTATGGGGTCAGTGAGTTGAATTTCCTCCTGCAGGCCTACTCCCGGGTGGTGGTGAGCGAGAGGGCCCTGAGCGATTTCCCCCTCTTCAAGCGGATCGTCTTCAGCCTCAGCCAGCTCTCCTTCAAGGACCTCTGCGTCAAGCTGGTCTACAGCAACTCTGAGATGCATGAGCTCTTCCCGGACTTTGCTGCCCTCGCAGCCATCGCCCTGGCCTTGCCGTTGGGCTCGGTCCTTGCTGAGAAGATCAGCCGAGGCCGGGAGCTGCTGAAGCGTGGACGGTCACACCATGCAAAGGACGAGGGGCTCTCTGACCTCATGAAGATTGCCATCGACGGGCCGGCCATCAGCGAGTTTGACTTTGCGTTGGCCATCGAGTACTACGAGAGCATGAGGGAGTCGGGCTTCATTGTGGCGCAGGTGAAGTGAGCGGTGGCCGGTGAAGGCAGAGCCCTGCGGGCAGGGAGCCAGGTCCTGTGGGCACCTCCAAGGCCCCACTTGATGCCACCTTTCCCCTTCACTGGTCACCGCTGAGGCCGGGTGGCCGCTGGTGCATGATGACCTGCTCCACGCTGGGAAGAGGAAATAGGATCCTTCACGAAGCCATGCTGGTCCCACAACCATCCCTCCCTCCTCCCCCAAACGTCTGTCTGAATTGGCCGTTAGTTTAAAATCTTGGGGCCACCTGAAATCCCACATCCCAATGAGGTTTGTTTTCAAGGGTTTGTTGTTATTTTGGTTTTGGGAGAGGAAGGCAAATCTTCTCTTGAGCTCAAACATCACGTTGCCTTTGCACAATTATACCCAGCAGCTTTTCCTTAATACTCTGCAAAAATATCTGATTTTTTTGTTGGTTTGGAGCCTCGAGAACGAATGCAGAAGAGGCGGTGCATCTTTCTAGCTCGGTGGCAAACCCTGAAATGCCTGGCGGTGTCTTGTTGGTGTTCTGTGCACACAGCACAGGGTATTTTTAGCAGTGGCATCAAGTCATGATCATTTCAAGAGCAAGAGATTTAGAGAATGACACTGTAATCAATGAGGAAATAGTAACTTTAAAATGCATCATTGTGTATATATGTGTATGTGTGTATATATATAAATATATATATAACTATATATATATTAAAAAGGTCTATCTTAATTTTCCTAGTGTTTAAAGATATCTAAAAGGACTTTTTTTTTTGCAATGACAGAATAAATTATAAGCAGGGGTCCAAAAATAATAAGTAGTGAATTCCTGGTCTTTTCAAAGCGGCATCACACACCTGTGTCCCCTTTGCCCTCTGAGCTCTCTGCGACCTTGAGAGAGTCTTCTAACGTCCGCTTTTGGGACAAACCCCAGCTGTTCACCTTGGGTTTTTACCTTTTTAAGCATCCCCCGACCCCGCAGCGAGTGGAGCCGTCGGGAGCCCTTGGAGCTCGTGGTGGAGTTGGTGGGGCTGCACGGCGTGTGGGGGCTGGCGTGGGGGCTCCTCCGGCGTTAACTGGGAGGGGTGGTTTCTTCAGTGCTGTCGGGGTGGGTGAGGAGACCCTTCTGACTGATTTTAATCTGCAATAAAGCCGAGGCAGCAGCCTGAAGCATCACGTCGGAGGATGCTCCTTAACCCTCAGCGCGGTGTCCTCCCGCAGGATTTGGCTCCGCTCCTTCCTGGGGTAAGTTCACGCTGTCCCGTGGACACAGGGTGATTTGACCCCACCATCCCCAACTCTGGTGGTCCCCATTGCTCCTGTAGCGTTGCCTCGTGCTGTGGCAACACAGAAGGGCCGTGGGGTCCTGGGCTTGGTGCTCCCTCCCTCCCTACCTCTACCCTGGACCTTCCTCCACCCCAGCCCTGGTTTATGGAGCCCTCCCAGCTCTGGGGGCAGCCTGGATGGCCCAAGGGGCTGCACAGCCCCAGGTCCAGTACTCGGCTGCCTCCCCTGCTGGGGTCCCCCCATCTCTCCCAGGAGGGGGTTGCCATCTGTCTGACCCAGTGGTATCACACCCCGGGTCCCCATGTTGGATACGTGGGTGGGACGGGGTGTTTGGGGGTGCCTGGTGGTGCCTCACAGGCTCCCATGGGCACCCTGTGCCCTGCGCCTGTGGGGAAAGGGGGATTTCTGTCCTTGGGGCTGGTGGCAGGTGACCACTGATGGCCCAGAGTCCGTGTCCTTCCAGGGTGGAGGAGGTGGTTGGATGATGAGGGTCCTTGGGTGGAGGCTGCTCGCCCATAAGCTCCTCTCGGCTCAGGCGTGTGGTTCTCAGCGTGCCCTGGTCCCCTGAGCTGGGCTTTGCTGGGGGCTACTGGGCTAACTGCTTGTGGGGGAGGTGGCTGTGGCACGCTGGAAATGGAAGGATTTAGCAGGATGATGCTCGTGGCTTGCACGATCCTTGTGTTCCATGGGGTGCTGGGGAGCAATGGAAGCGCCGGAGCGGGTTGCACACAACAGCTCTGCACCTCAGGGGGGGTTGTCCCTTCCTTTCTGTGGGGGTCTGGTGGGGCTGGGGGTGCTGGAGGGGCTGCACTCAGCCGAGGCCAGTCCTGCTGTGGGGGCTGCTGGGGTCAAGGAGCCAACCTACCATGCCAGGGCATCCCCAGCCTCGCTGTGTGGGGCCAGCAGATCTGCTGTGTGGTGGTCCAGGTTGGGTTTGTGGGGTCTGGTTGCTTCAGGAGTCCAATGCGTGTCCAATCCTGTTACTGGTCTGGACCCCACGCAGCACTGGGGCAGCTCCGGTCGTGCTCCAGCGTTGTCACTGGTCGCTGTTCCACTTCTCCTGCCAGCAGCCCTTGGCACCGGGGGACTGCGCACACGTTTCCCAGAGAGCCTCCTGGAAGGAGCTGGAGCACGTTCAGCCCGTGCTTGGCCCGAGACAAAAAAGCTTTAAAGCCCTGGGTAAGGAATTTGAGACACCACCAAAATTTGCCGCCAACACCTACCGACTGGGAGGGAGCCAGGCTGCCTCCCTGCGAATAAACAGCCCCGTCTCCATCTGCCTGGCGCAGACCCTGCGCCAGATGCTCCTGCGAGGCAGCCGGCGTCTGCGGAGACGGGTCCTTGGCAGATTCTCCTGTTGGTATGAAAACCCCCAGCGTGGTCCCTGCCGCCTGCAAAGGTGTTTCTGGGAGGTTGGCACACACGGCGCGTTGCTCTGCTCTGCCTCGCAGAGAAAACCCTCCGTGGACCCGCGTGTAGGGGGTTGGTTCAAGGTGATTCAAGGATTGGAGCATCTCCCTGATGAAGAAAGACTGAGAGAGCTGGGACTCTTTAGTCTGGAGAAGAGAAGGCTGAGGGGAGACCTTATTAATGCTGACAAGTATCTCAAGGGTGGGTTGAAGGAGGAGGGAGCCAGACTCTTTTCAGTGGTTCCCAGTGAGAGGACGAGGGGCAACGGGCACAAGTTGGAACAGAAGAGGTTCCACTCAAATATGAGGAGAAACTTCTTCCCAGTGAGGGTGGCAGAGCCCTGGAACAGGCTGCCCAGGGAGGGTGTGGAGTCCCCTTCTTTGGAGATTTTCAAGACCCGCCTGGATGCTCCTGAGTAACATGCTCTGACAAGCTCTGGGCAATCCTGCTTCAGCAGGGAGTTGGACTAGATGGTCTCTATGGTTCCTTCCAACTCTAAAAATTCAGTGAAATTCAGTGTAGTGGCTGTGTGGAGCGGAGAGGTGAGGGGGACGGGCTGGGGACAGTCCTGGGTGGGCTTGGTTAAATGAAGGACTGAAACATGTCTTTGAACTCCAAAGAACCCCTCCAAGAGTCATATGCCTGCAGGACAGGAGCTGGGCTGAGCTTTGCAGGGCTGGGAAGGGGCTGAGCTGATGGCTCGGGGCTGAGCCCCAGGCAGGGGACATGTGGCACCGCAGCGGTGACACCAAGTAGCTTGGCATCTTTCAGCCAGGTCTGGCTGCTCCGTTAAGAGCATCCATGGCCCCTTGCTGTGGAGCTGTGTGGGGAGAAGGCAATCCCCCTGGGCTGCAGCGGCTCAGACCTGCCTGTGGTTGGGGACTAACTTGGTGGTGGGGCAGGGGGGATGTCCCCACGCAGCACCGTGACCACCTTGGTGGCTCTGCCTGGGTGACAGAGGCCTGGCCAGGGTGCAGGGTACCCGCGGTGCCCCCGTTGCACCGGCCCTTTTCATCCCTCCACAGACCCCTGAGCACATCCCATCCTGGTGGGACCCGGGGGCTGGTGGCACGGTGCTGGAGTGGCCGTGTTTGCTGCGGGGGTTGGGGCTCCTCTGCCAAAATGGAGGGACAGACAGAGACAGCACCGCGGTGGGGGACGGTCCCCCCCCGGAGCTGCAGACCCAGCATCTGGGGATGCCATTCACCAGCAAAGCCCACCCCGCCGGTGGCCACGTCCGTCACCAAGGGTAAGGTCGTGTCATTCTAGACAGACCTGAGGGCCCTGCCACTCTCCCCAGAGACATGCTCTGACAAGCTCTGGGCAATCCTGCTTCAGCAGGGAGTTGGACTAGATGGTCTCTATGGTTCCTTCCAACTCTAAAAATTCAGTGAAATTCAGTGTAGTGGCTGTGTGGAGCGGAGAGGTGAGGGGGACGGGCTGGGGACAGTCCTGGGTGGGCTTGGTTAAATGAAGGACTGAAACATGTCTTTGAACTCCAAAGAACCCCTCCAAGAGTCATATGCCTGCAGGACAGGAGCTGGGCTGAGCTTTGCAGGGCTGGGAAGGGGCTGAGCTGATGGCTCGGGGCTGAGCCCCAGGCAGGGGACATGTGGCACCGCAGCGGTGACACCAAGTAGCTTGGCATCTTTCAGCCAGGTCTGGCTGCTCCGTTAAGAGCATCCATGGCCCCTTGCTGTGGAGCTGTGTGGGGAGAAGGCAATCCCCCTGGGCTGCAGCGGCTCAGACCTGCCTGTGGTTGGGGACTAACTTGGTGGTGGGGCAGGGGGGATGTCCCCACGCAGCACCGTGACCACCTTGGTGGCTCTGCCTGGGTGACAGAGGCCTGGCCAGGGTGCAGGGTACCCGCGGTGCCCCCGTTGCACCGGCCCTTTTCATCCCTCCACAGACCCCTGAGCACATCCCATCCTGGTGGGACCCGGGGGCTGGTGGCACGGTGCTGGAGTGGCCGTGTTTGCTGCGGGGGTTGGGGCTCCTCTGCCAAAATGGAGGGACAGACAGAGACAGCACCGCGGTGGGGGACGGTCCCCCCCCGGAGCTGCAGACCCAGCATCTGGGGATGCCATTCACCAGCAAAGCCCACCCCGCCGGTGGCCACGTCCGTCACCAAGGGTAAGGTCGTGTCATTCTAGACAGACCTGAGGGCCCTGCCACTCTCCCCAGAGCAAATCCCTTTAATTGAGTGTCTAATTAATACCTAAAAATACAGCCCGCAGCTGCTGCTGGAATTTCCCCTGCGGCAAAGGTAAGGCAGGAGCTGCAGCCGCGCGGCCCTGTAACCTTGGGAAGGTGCCCCAAGAGCGTGGGTCCTTGCCCCACATGCCCTGCTGATGCTTTTGTGATCATCTGAGGTTCAGGCAAACCGAAGCCAGTGGTGATGTTGGCTTTTGCCGTGTGGCTGCTGCCCTGCCTGCCCTCTGTGGCCAGGGGATGGTGAGCCACGCTGGCCACAGCTCATCCCTCCTGCAAGGCACTGGTTTTCCTCCTTTGCCAGGAGAAAAACCTTACCACCCTCCTCGCGGGGTGCCTGAGTGGGGATGATGCTGTTGGAGGGTCTCAGCCCTTTTCTTGCTGGGAGGGTCTTGGACAGTTTGATTGGAACTGGGAGGGAAAGATCCTGTCCTCTCCACAGGGTCCCATCTCAGCTGAGGCTTCTGGGCTCTCTCCTGCCCGAGCCTGCAGACCCAGCCCAGAATATGTGTTTAATCCACAAATTTGGGCTCAAGGACGTGCCAGAGTGGCTTGGTCTGTTGTGACCTTAGTGTGTTGGGGGCAGCAGCAGCAGCCGTGGGGCAGTGGCCATCACCAGGAGCCCATGTGCCCCTCAGCACCCCCCGACCACTCGCCCACCCGGCGCAGGAGCTGGTCTCTGGGCACCAAACCCCTTGGCCTTGGGTGCCAGGCAGCAGAGCCAGGTTTTCAGCATGGTGGCATTGGCTGGGCTGCAAATCCCCTTTATTGGGCTACTGAGGGTGGTGGCAGAGGTGTTCAACCTTCCTCTTCTTCCTCCCAGTGGTGAATGTAGTATATATATTATTTTTTTGTAAAGCCCAGTGCAATCAGCGCAAAACACTCTGACAAAGGCAAGTGGAAACCCCTCAACCCGGCTCCAAATGCCTTTGCTGTGGCTGCTGCTCCTCACGGGGTCGGGGCTGTGTGTGGGGCTGGGGGTCCCCGGGGACCGTCTCCCCGGGTGCCGTCCCTGCCTCCTCCGATGATTTGATGCAGAAATACCATTTCACGCCCCAGAAGGTTAATTATGCATCGTTCACCCATTTCTGCTTGCTTTTGCTCCCTGCCTTGTCGCTGTGGCTGCAATTTTATTTATTTATTTTTAAACAGTTTCGCAGATTTCCCTTCTGGGCGACTCTGAAATTAACTCGATCAATGCACGCCTGATGAAGCAAAATGTAATTTTTTCCCTGGAGTCAGGCCTGGCTCGGGGACGGCTCCGGTGCCGCTGCCGAGCCGCCCGTGTGCGTTCTCCCAGAAAGAGGTCGTTGGTGCCCGCGGGGCCCGCGCTCGCTGCTCAGATTCCGCAAATCCCTCAAATTTGGAATTTCAGATTTGTATCTGGGCTCCTGCGCCAGCCCACCTCCTGCCGGGGGAGCAAACAGCTGAGTGCCCACCACTGACCCCGGGTCCTCGTCCTGGCCGGGGGGGGGTGGTGGAGGGGGCGAGTGCCTGGGCACAGTCCCAAAGTGGCACCGGGGGTTGCCGGGCATCATCGGTGCTCTGACGTGAAGATGGCTTTGGGATGCTGGTTTTGAGCCCAAAAGGCAGAGGAGGACCAGGGGCCACCTCGGGCTGGGACCTTTTGCCAAGGAGGTCCAGAGACCGTGTGCCGTGTCCCCATGTGCCATGTCCCCACATGCTGTGTCCCCCCCCGCTGCCACTAATGCTGCTCTTTCCCCTCTGCCTCCCCAGGTCCCTCCGGACACAGCAGCCCCCTCCTCGCCTCGTTGCCAATCCCCGGCCGTCCCCTTCACCCCCCCTTGGACATCAAGCACTTTCTGACCTTCCGGCTCAACGGGACGTCACCGCTCAACCTCTTCCCCAACTTCAACACGGTGAGTCCCGGGGGGGGTGGGCATCTACTGCTGGACCTTTCCTCCCCACAGCAATCTCTCTTCTACACAACACCAGTCCTTGAACCCCACCAGGTAATTTCTGGCTTAATTACTGGCACCTCTGGCTGCCGGGCACTGGTGCCACGTGCCCACCCTGCCCTTGGCTTGGAGCGGTTCCTGCCCAGCCACGGCCCGTCTATACCACAATTAAAAAGATGGTTAATTTTAACCAAGATCAATTGGATTTTGCTCCTGGAATCAATAGTAATAAAGTAGCCCTGGAGAGCAGTTCATTAGTTGGCAAATAAAGAAAGAAAAGGGAAGAAAGAGAGAGAAGGTGTGTGAGGATCCAAGGGAGGTGGCTGGGGGTGTGGGACCAGCCTGGTCGCTGTGGGACCTCTCCTACCACCCCCTTGGGCTCAGGGTCTTCAGCCTTGAACCACCAACCAAGCACTTGGGTCACACAGTTAGACGTAGCTGGTAGAGATGCTCTGTCCTACACCCAACCTGGCGTGGACGTGGCCAAAGACATATGGCAGCATCTCAGGGGTGCAGTGCCATTGTCCCCACTCCATGCCACTCTCCCCAGGTTGGTCTCAGCCCTGCTGGGGTCTCTGTCCCCCCCCCAGGACACAGCTCCACACCTTCCACCAGTGGGAGGGCTGGGACCTGCTCCTGGAGCCCCCTCTTGCCTTGTGCTGGGTCCCTGCCCTGCTGTTCCAGCCTCCTGGGGTTCCTCAGGGATCTGCTCCCAGTGTTGTTGAGGGGCAGGTTTTGCTCAGGGGCGGTGATGGGGGGGGGTGCTCCCCCCACAGAGGCAGGATGGACCTTGCTGGGTTTGGTAAATGCCTGTTTTTTCCCCTCGTGAGCCTGGAAAAGGGACTCCCCTGAGCAACCTCCCTGCCCGCTCGCCGGCCTTTTGTAAACGGCTGAGATTAAACATGCTCGGAAGGTGCAAATTATCGCTGAGATCTTCAAAGAGCGGCTGGAGAAATTAAGCACAGGGTTCCTGTTGCTGCTGAATGGGATTCAGACGTCTAACTGCTTTAAGCTCTTTTGAAATCCCAGCTCTCGCCTGTCTCTCCCCTGCGCTAACAAGCAGAAACACAGGAGAGGAGGATTTTTTTGATGCCATTAAGGTTGCTGCTCTTTGTCTGGGCTCCTTTTTTTAGTCGCTGGAGTCAGTAGCTGACTTGAACCAGACCCTGTTGTTTGTTCTGCTTGGCTCCCGCCGGCCCCTGCCTTGGCACGTGTTCTCCAGAGCTGTGCTGCTCAAAAAAACCATAATAATTTGGAAAATGAGTCTCTTGCGCTTGCCGGAGCCTCATGCTGCTGCATCCAAGGATGTCTTGGACGGGGGGGTGGAGGTGCTGGGGTGGGGGGCTGTCCCACGGTGTGGGCACCTTGTGCTCATTGCTCTGAGCTCAGCCCCCAGCCTGGTGGGTGATGTTGGGACCCTCTGGGGGTGGGAGCTGCCCCGTCGGGGTGGGTTTGTGCTGGAGAAGTGGCTGAGGCTGGGGCTGCGAGGGCTTCATGGGGACCCAGAGCAGGGTCCCCGTCCCCACGGGACACAGGGCTTGAGCATCTCTGTGCCCTGAGCCGGGCTGGTGGCTCCTCTTTCTCTGCCCAAGTAGCCGTGATGCCAGGTCAGAGCCTCAGGGGGAGTTTGGGAGGGTGGTGGGGGGCATCAGTCTGGGTATTTCACTTTTTGGGAGAGCTGCCGGGTGTGAATTGTTGTGTAGAGGAATGGGGGGGTGGGGGGGGGGTTGTCTTTTCTCCCGGGTGACGCTGTGCAGGAGTCGGTGCTGCCCCGGGGAGCAGGAGCTGTTTGTGGCCGCCCAGCAGAACACTTTGCACTTTGAGCAGGTCACAAGGCTCTCATGAACCCAGCAGATGTTTTACTCCAGAGCAAGAGGAACC